AGAATGGGAAAAGCTTTTTTTGTGTGTGAGCTTTAAAATTTCCTTGGAAAAGTTCACTCAGGTTTTTTCTGAAAGGGCAGAAGTCTCTGGGGCCTTCTCATGTATGACTTTTTGCTTTTTCTTTCTGGCGCCTGTAGAATGGCTGGTGCTATTTTGGAAGCATTTTGGAAGGTGAGTGGAACTCTGTGGGCAGAGCCAGTGAACTGTCCAAATTCATTAAACTAAATCATCTGCTGCTCACGGAGACAGCCTTGGTAGCTGAATCCTATTTTCAAAAAGCAGCCTCATCACCCTCTTGAGTCCTCGATAACCCGTCACCTGATATTTTTAACCAAGGTGACAACCTCTGACTTGGTTAAATAAAAGACCCTAATAGTGAAAAGAGGGGTTAAAAATCCACAGAAAAATTCCACATCTCCTCAATCCTGGGCCCTAGGATAGTCACCAGCATTAAGACCCAGGAGGGCTGCAGCTTTTGGTCCAGCTGCTGCTTTTCCATCACAAAGGGGCTGAGAGGACTCGCACATCCCCCTAACTGGCCCAGACTTTCCTGCCCTACCTTCCAAGCTCTCTTTGTTCCCAATATCCTTGCCTCCCTGTTGCTGGTCTTAACATCTGCCTGCCAGAGGAACTTTGTGCATTTTTATCGAGGCTCCCGATCCAATGTTGTCCGAGCCCTGGATGGAGGGGAGGCAGAGGGCAGCGATGTGAAGAAAGAGGTTGTTGATTCAGCTGTTGCTGCTTCCTCTGAGATGGAGCTCTGAGCTAAACAGGAACCAGAGCCATTTCCCTCCTTTTCCTCCTCCTCTAGTCTCAGAGTCCCCAGATCCCTCCTCAATCCCTCTACTCACACAGGCGCCTCTTCCCTGAGGCTCCTGGAAATGTGCCTTCTACTGTTTCCCATTTCTTTATCTTGTTTAAGTCAAACATGTTCATTCAAAGAGCTGCTGAGGCTGTCCTGCTATTCCTCCAGCTTTCAGGACAGGTTTCTAGGGCCTGCTAGCCAGCCTCTCCTTGGCTGTCTTGGCAGTGTAGTTCAGGAAAGCCTTCTCATTTCTTCAGCTGGAAGGCAGGGCTATCCTGCTGGCTCAGCCCTGTCCCCAGCTGCAGCCTCTGGCCCCTCAGCCCCAGCAGCCTGGGAGCCAGGAGCCTCTTCTGCTGCCCTGGCCACCGGGACTGGTAAACTCTCCTCTGCCTGCTCTTAACTTCTGCTCTCACAAGGCAGAGCTTCACAGATGAAATCTTTATTTATGGATTTAATAACTACACAGAAAAATTATAAATGTGGAAGCCAATCTTTTACTCCAAAGGGAAGAGTGAGAATGTAAAAAGAAAGAACTCCGGCCCCCTCTCACCAGAGCCTGGCTCAGACTATACCTGCAGCCAGACACCTCTCTGGAAGAGTCTAGCATTACCTCTAGAGATCTATCCTTCTCAAACATTCTCTTCTCTGAGAATAGACACCTTTACTTCCTGGCCATAGCTATGTGGCCCAGGAGGAACCAATCAGATTCTCTCTCCTGGGGATGTAGAACTGCTGATCAGAGATGTTGGATCCCAGGAAGTATTCAGAGGCATCTTTGCCTCACTACAGAGAGATAGTAAAAGCCATACTGCAGGATGGGGTGGACACTCAGAGAGACACAAGAGTGAGAGAGCAGCTGATCCTGGCTGCCTGTCTCCCAGTCGTAGTACACTCTTTCTCCTGGGTTCTGCAAAATTACTGAATCCTTAAAATAAATATCCTTTTTATTGAGTTTGTTTGCTTTTATTTATTTTTTTGCTTTAGTTAATATGACTGGGTTTCTGTTTCTTGTAACCCACAAATGACTCCTCCTATTTACCTTACCTTGCCACCCCAAACAAAGAACCCATCTACTCCGCCCACTGGCTGCTAGGAAAACGGCCTTGACTTTCACCGTTTCCTCCCTACATATAGCCCAGAGGACCAATGAGACTAATGAAAGAGCCTGTGTTCGTCCTATTGTGAACCATCCTACCGAGGCTCACGCAGGGCCACCTCCTCCATGACACCTTCCTCGTGGCCTGGTTAGTTACTCTTTCTGGTTCGTTTGTTCATGGTTGTTACGGTTTGGATCCTAAGTGTTCCCCAAAAGCTCAAGATTTGAAGGCTTCATCCCCAGGTAATGGCATTACTGGGAGGTGGCAGAAACTTTAGGGTCCAAATAGACAAGGCCAACCAACCAGGGACTGCAACCTCTGAAACAGTGACCCAAAATAAATCCTTTTTGTCACAGTGATGGAAAGGTATTTTGTCACAGTAACAATAAGTTAACTGGCATAATGCTGGAGTCTCTTGCAACAGAACTGGAGCATGGCGTCCCCAGAGACAAACTCCATGTTAGAAAAAGCACAAACTTTGGAGTCAGGCAGGCTTAGGGTCAGGGTTTCTGGGATCACAATATGTCTCTGCCACTTACTAAAGTTACTTAATGCTTTATAATAATTACTTAATAGGAGTGTTGATGGGAGGATTAAAGATAATTTATGCCAACTTCGTGGTAGCACAGACAGTATGTGGAGATTCTGAACATTCCTCTGGGAAGGTCTTTCTGCCCATTTCCACTCCCACCCAGACAGGATCAAATGCCTCTCCTATAAGCCCTTATTCATGCCCATCCCATTTGGAACCTGTATCATGGTGTGTTCTATGTTGCTCATCTTTGTATCCTCAAAGTCTAACATAGAGCCAGACCTAGAAAAGGGGTTCAAGAAATACTTGTTGAATGAATACAGATCTGTAGATGTATTGGGCAGCTTTCCTGTTGGTGGGACTGAATGCCTGACACACACAACTTAAAGGAGGAAATGATTTATTTGACTCACAGTTTCAGAGGTTCATTTCATGGTCAGCTGGCTCCAAAGCAGAAACAACATGGTGGAAGGATGTGGTGTAGCAAGGCTTCTCTCCTCATGGCAAGAGCACCAGCAAGAGATCTACCTTCCACAGGCACGGCCCCAGTGACCGAGCTGTTGCAGCTAGGTACCACCTCCTACCAGCACTTTCAGCTTTGAACATCAGTGGATTAAAGCATTGATGAGTATGGCACCCTCATGATCCAGGCATCTCCTCAGGAACCTCCTAATCTAGTCAAGTTGGCAATTAGATTAATGGGCATCATATGTATTTGTGTTCCCCTATTGGACTGTGAGCTCTTGGGAAGAGTTCTCAGAAAGGCATGTTTTTTCCCTAATTTAGAACCTAGTTCAAGAATGGCCCATTGCCAGCAAGCAGTAAATGTTCTTGGTGGCATTTTTTGATCCAGTTGGACGAAGACAAGCTACAGGTGCAAACTGAAAGCAATTTCCTTTCAACTGCAGAGTGCATCAGCTTTCCTACAGTGACGACCTCAAGCTCCAACACATGAGGGGAAGCTCTCCAGGAAGATTCACACCGTGCCCTGTGTAGGCATGTTCCCACAGGGGAGGAAACAGTGAAGCTACGGAGGGGAATGGGAGGGACTTGGTGGACAACATCTGGTTCAGAGTGAAAGCTCTGGAGTTGTTAGACCAGGTTCCCATGCCAGCCCTGACATTAGCTAGAATGTACCTTGGAACAAGTGAGATATTTCCTATCTCTGAGCCTCAGTTTCTTCATCTATAAAATGGAAATAGTAGTACCAACTTCCCAGATTGCTATGAGAATTACATGAAGTAATCTCTATAAGGCAGTAAGCCTGGCACATAAGAAGTGTTCTATAAATATCACTTTTTAAAAAATATTACTGCGTAAATCTTATTAGATAGCAAAACACTTTCATGCACTTTTATCTCCTTTGATCTTCACAATAATCCTATGAGATAGTTAAATCTCAGGAACTACGGATGTTAGAGATTAAAGTGCTTTGTATAAGCCACAAGGCACAGAGGCCAGACCCCATCCCTGGGGGTGTGTGAAGAGCCAGAGATCTGAACGTGGGCAGAGTTCAAATCCTCATTCTGCCCTGCGCTAGCCATGGGCTCCTATGCAAATCACTTCTCTGAGCTCCCATCATTATTACCTACCTCGGAGACTTATTGTGAGGAATGGATGGGGCAGTGCTTATTAAGTCTCTATCTCCAGAGCAGCCAGAACAGTAGGTGCTTAGTAAATGTTCACTCTCAGGTTCATGTCTTGTGCTTTCACGTTACTGCACAATACACTGGTGACCATCTCTACTCGGCATAATAAACCAGCAGCTTTGAGCCAGGGACCCTCTAGCTGCCTTCCTTCTCCATTTGTACACAGTTCTGTAGGAAGATGTGGACCTGTTTCCCACCACAGATCTCTTGCTGTCAGTAACAGCAGAGCTGACAGGCATCCTATGCTAGCCACCGGGGAAGAGTGCAAGGTGTGGTGGAGTGCTCCCCATCTCCATGCTCAGATAACTCTGCCAGCAGAGACTGTGTGTGGAATGTTTTTGCACATTGGGCCCAAGCCAGCTTTTCACTTGTACAACACTATCTCCCAATGATATTTCAGGTGTTCACCATGTGTCCTTAGCAGCTATCACTATTGACTTTTTGGACTTAATCTTACTGTTGATTTTTTTTTTTTTTTGGTACAGGGGATCAAACATAGGACCTTTGACTTGCCAGGCAGGTGCGGCACCACTGAGCTAAATCCCCAGCTCTTGCTGTTGATTTTGACAGATCCTTCAATGCCACTTAGGTTGTACTTTGTCTTACAGATATTTATTAGTCTAGTTGCACATGATTTTTGTTTTGTAGCTGCTGAATTTTGTGTTCCAGAACTCTAAACCCATCCAGTTGTCCAATTCATGAGCTGCTCTCCATCTATTCTTACTGCCTTTTTGGAGGAGAGATGTACAGTGGGAGGAGCACTGGGGCAGGAGGAAGATGACCTTTCTATTTCTACGTGATTGGTCCATGTGCCTGAGTGTCCTGGTTCTGCCGCTCATTAGCTGTGTGACCTGGAGCAAGTTGCCAATCACCTTGCACCTCAGTTTGCTCACTTGCAAAACAGGATTCTATGGCCTGGATTATCATCTTTTAGGATCATTGAGATTCAAGCCCTAATGCAGAAAGCATTCAGAACTTCTAGGAAAGACCCTTAGGAATCAGCCACTTTGGCTTGCTCATCTTTTCACTGGAGAAACTGAAGTCCAGAGAGCCTTTTGAGGGTAAGGACCATCCTTTATCCATCTTTCTATTCCCAGGATCTAGACAGAGTCAGGTGCACACTGGGTTGCTAATAAACATTTTGTAAATGAGCTGAGTGATCAGCTCCCAGTGACACGTCTGTAATTTAACTTCCCGTGATGACTCAGTTATCAACATCAATTATTATATTGACCTGTGATGTCATGATTCCTTCAGAACCAATTTTACCATGTAGAATGTGACCATTTGTGCTTTTGCTTTTCTACTTAGTGTGCCTTTTCTCTTTCTTCTCACTGTCATCTGTCAGTTCTCCTGTAGTCAGTTCTCCTCAAAGTTTGAGAAATCTCCATCACTGCTTCTAATTAGCTGTCCACTCTGGTCTGGGGCAGAACAAGAGGGAAATAGTGTTGAAAGATTTAAAATTGGCGTGCATATCATGTATCTTTTTTTTTTTTTGAGTTACAAAGAATATGGCTGAGTTTTCTGTAGACAAGAAGCATTGCCCGTTTTCAGCTGGAAGATGCCTTAAAGTCATCTGGTCTAGTCCCTCTAGTCATGCATGTGTGTGCTAACTCACAAACCCCTGTCCAGTTACTTCTACACACTGTGCATGCAGAAGTCTACACATGACTTCTGAAGCACTTGTATCTCCATCCGGGATCTGGATTTGTAAGCATTCTTCCCTCCCAGAATTTCCTCTCTGATACTCCCCTCTAATTATAACCTAGAAACTTCCCTTCTGTTCTCCTCTCTGTCTTTTCCAGCCCTCTTTAGTCCTACTTGAAATATTTTTTACTGTCCTGTGTTGCTTAGCTGTCTAGGGGGAAGCTTTAAAATGTAAACTGGAAACACTTAAAGATAATTAAGTAGGTAAGGGGAGACATAGGGGAAATGTTAATCGTATCACTGGATTTAAAATCGAGAAAGGAATAATCTCATTTAAACAAAACTTCAGTACTCATTTGAAAGCCTGTAAATTACAGACAAATTATTGGCCATAAATTGTGATTTATGTTCTGTGGGTTTTTAATGAGGGCAAGTGAGGCAGAAAAACACTTACCAGTTCACAATCTGGAGAGCAGCAGGCGGGCCTGTCCCTCTCTGAGAGCAATGTAGTTGAAGGGCATGGAATAGATCCAAGGATCAGGCTGTAGTTCAGCTCTTTTCTGCCTGTGTGATCTCAGTTTCCTCATCTGTATGACAGCAACAACATTAATATCTCTCTCACAGGGCTGGTGGAATGACTGAGATAATGTATGTGAAATCATTTTGTAAATCACAACGCTACACAGATGCCAGCTGCTGTCAGCAGTCAGTACTCAGCATGCGGCATCTTGTATCTTCTGTGCTAGGTTCGGGGCAGCCAAGGGATGGGACAGGCCAGTATCCAGTCTGGCAAGGAGCAAAAGGATGCTGTACAAACAGGAAGGAATAATTAGGAGAGTTGACGATCATAAGCAAAAGTGATGGATGTGAACTCCATCTTAGATGAACTACACTATGGGATCCAACTTCTATGACTGGTCCATCTGTGGGCAGGAAATACAAATCCAGAAATGGTATTCAGGATCCAAAGTCAAAACACTATGACGGGATAGGGCAAGAGCCAGTGTCTAGTTCAGGGAGTTGGAGGGAACTCAGGGGGCAAGACGCGGGTCAGAGGAATGACTGCTGAGACATACTGAAAACTGAATGGCACTCATGTGAGGTGCAGAATCTGTAGGAACACTTCAATGTCAAAGCCAATGGGGACAGACAATTTGATTATTTAAAAACTTAACGAATATTGATGGAGTGTTTACTGTGTGCTGTGCATTTATTCACAATAGTGAATTAAATAAGACATTGAAGCTAGGCATGGTGCCGCATACCTATAATCCCAGCTACTCAAGAGGCTGAGTTGGGAAAATCACAAGTTCCAGGCCAGTATGGGCAATTTAGTAAGACACTGCCTCAAAAAAACCAGCAGTGAGAACACCTAGATGTTGATTTGTTTTCTCAGCCTGTGGACTAGTAGGATAGGATGATAAACAGGCAACCACATGACAGTGTGACAGGTATGTGGTGGGAGAGCCTTCCACCCAGCCTCGCCTGGGGTGGGGATGGACACAGTGAAGGCCTCTCCACACCCACTGCCTCCACTGGCATGGCCATAGAGTTGGGCCTTCGCAGGGGGCATTCAGCTGCTGGCTGTCTTTCCTGGCTCCAGCACACACATTCTGACTTCCCTGTATGTCTTATTTGTTTGTGGGTCATCTCCCCTAACTAGATTGTAGAACTGTCCCTTTCTAGCCCCTCGAGGACTGGGACAGTAACTTCCTCTTTTCAGGTTCAGTGCCTACTGGTCTGGCTCATTGAGTAAAATAGGAAGAGGGAATGACTAGAAGGCACAAAGGAAGAAGGGTCTTTGACTATCCAGGGCCTGTCTTCTCCTGAGGTCATTCTCCAGGAAAAAGCAAGGGGAGCTACCTGATGCCGTGTCTTTTCACAGGTTTCTACTCTTCCCAGAGCAGCTGCTCCTCTCCTGCATGTGGAAAGATGCCAAGGACCGGTAGCCGGGGATCCAGAACCTAGCCAGGTACCAGAACCCAGTAGCTGCTGCACAGTTTTCTGTGTAAGTCTCCTGGGGACAGGGCCTTTTGTCAACTTTGTGTCCCCTCAAGAATGGGCACACTGAATTTGCCCTTGCTATGAGCAGCAGCTTCTGCAGGACACTTGTCCCTGGTCCACAGAAATAATAAACAGCAGCACTGTCTACAAATTCCTTTCTACTTGCTGGACATGGTGCTTGTACAGTGCTCTCAATCCTCAAAGCAATGAGTCCCACCAATAATATTGCAATAGGGCCAGGCTCTGTGCTGGTGGTGGACAGAGATGCAGATGGCTTCTGTACCCTCAGGAGCTTACCACTCATTGGGGTGGGGTGGGAGCAGGTAAGTGGGATGATAAAATAGGTGTGGTTGGGTACGGGACGGGACTCCACAGAGGGACAGGAGTGTGAGAATTCCAAGGAGGAAGATGTTCTACCAGGAGCAGGTTTGTGGAGGCTCCGAAGGAGTGGAGGTGGCTTTCAGAGGAGAGAGAGACTGAGGTGTTCCAGGAGAAAGGACAAACAGACCAAGGGGTGGAAGTGGTTAGTCCCTTGCGTAGTCAGGAAACAGTCTAGGTTAGTTTTATGAGAATATAAATGGCTTCCAAGGGTGTAGAAAGAAATAAAAGCAAAGCAAAATAAAAACAAAACATAAAAATCAAAACAAAAGCCAAACCAAACAAAGAATCCCAATCAAGGCCATACTGCTGCAGAGACTTGTTTGAATCCAGGCAAATACATTGAAGTTGTGTGAATAATTATGAGTAACACAGACTGAATGAACTTATTGATAGTAAATGTCTTATTTAATCCTTACCCTAAGCCTCCAGATTAGGGTTGTTATTATACTCATTTTACAGATGAGATTTGGTCACCATTTACTCAAGGTCACACACCACTGCTCCTCAGAAGGGCTTCCCACAAAGCCAGAAATTGTACCAAGGTCATTTGGCTCCAAAGGCCACGCTTTGACCCTCTCACAGCAGTGACTGCACGGGAGTGGGTAAATTTGTGACGGGAAAAGCACGGGTGGAGAAAGAGGTTTGAGATTCAAGGAAACATCTGTCTAAATTCAGAGGCCGGCAGAATGAATGAAAAGGAAGCAGTGAAGAAGACAGACTGATTCCAACTAGAAAAAGTCCTCGTCTCTAAATCCCAGGAGGCTCAGGAAGGAGGCAGCTGCTGGGCATGGTGGTGCATACTCGTTATATCAGCACTTGCAAGGTTGAGGCAGGAGGACAGGAAGATCACTGCAAGTTCAAGGCCAGCCTGGAATGTGTAGGGAGACCCTGTGTCAAACAAAACAAAACAAAACAAAACAAAACAAAACAAGAGTCGGGGAGCCAAGTCAGAAGATCCCAACGCTCAGCCAGGTTGGGCAGATGAGAGCAGAGTTGTGGTCAGGCTGAATATGCAGGATCAGCGAAGGGACAGGGACAGAGACAGCTGCTTCTCAGAAAGAAATGATGACTGACAGACACACAGAACAAGTAGGAAACGCGACAGAGGAGAAAGCAGGGTTGTGGGAAAATTTTTTAACAATGCATTTATAATCACAAAAATATTTGGTGTATATGAAAATAATATAATTAGCAACCCTGAACTACCACTCAGACTTAAAAAGCTAATACTTAATGATACAAATGTCTGTTTTCTCTTTTTTTGATACCAGGGATCGAACTCGGGTCTTTGTGCTTGTGAGGCAGGCGGCAGAACCACTGAGCTAAATCCCCAGCCCTTGTTTCTTGCCTTAAAAAAAAAGGCATCAGCTTATAGATACAGTCAGCCCTTCTCCCTACTCTCACCTGGTCTCTCTCCCTTCCTCCAAGTAACCATCATCCTTAAGTTAGTATCATTCCCATACCCTTTAAGAAAGTTTATTACATGGGCTGGGGATTTAGCTTAGTAGTTCCAATGCCTGTCTCCCAATCGCAAGGTCCTGAGTTTGATCCCCAGTTCCAAAAATCAAAAGTTTATTGCATGGATCTTTACCAATACAGCTGGTACAGTTGTATTGTGTCTTTAAAATTCACTTAAAAGGTATCACCTATATACATATATGCAATATTTTAAAATTGCTGCATTTTAAAATTTATTTATTTATTTGTATCGGGGATCGAACTCAGGACCTTGCACCTGCCAGGCAGGTGGGGTACCACTGAGCTACATTCCTGGCCTCTAATTTTTATTTTTTATTGGTACATGTGTGCAGTACATAGTGATGCCATTCCTCATGGGGAGTTGGTACATGTCTATAACACATCTTAATTCTATTTTTATCCCCTTCCCGTCCTTTCCCTGGCCCCTCTCTGCATCTCTTGGTCCTCTTCCCATCTGCAAAGATCCGCCACCCTATTTCCTATCATCTACCTATTACTATGTATTTTGCTTTTTATGTTTTGGGTTTCTCCTGGAAGAGAATTCATGCGATAGTTAAGCTCGTGTGTCTGATTTATTTCACTTAACATTGTGGTCCCAAGGTGCCTCCATTTCCTACAAATGACTCAAGTTATTGTCACATTATTTCTGAGGTTGCCCGTGATGATGGATACAGTTCAGGCTCATTCACTTTAACCACCCTTGTATTAATAAGCCACGTCCCTTCCCTACTGCTGACGTTTTTGTTATTGCTATTTCTCACAGTTAGCAACAGTGCGGGAAGCGAATGACCTCGATCATATCCCTGCTGTCCCCATGAGAGTCGCTCTGTGGCCCCCTAGAAGTGGAAGCCCCACTGTGTCTCAGGGTTTTCTGTCTCAAAGCAAGTGCACAGCTCTGTCCTGATTCCCGGGGGGCCTGGCACTCACTGCCTGTGTTGACTTTTGCCAGCTTGATGAATGTGAGTGGTATCATTGTTTTGTTAATTAGCATCTGAAGGAAGGAATTTTTTTTATATAGCAAAACACTTACTGGTACATTTTAGACAAACAATGATAACACTAATCATAGGAATTTGCGCCTTTACATGGCACATTCCACCTCTTTTTTCCCATTCTCCCCCTTCCCTTAAGCCCTCTCCTCTCCCTTTGTTTTCATTTTTTCCTTCTATTTTCACTTTTTTTTCTTGTCCCTTCCTTCTTTTCTCCCTCCCTCCTCCCTTGTTCCCTGAAGGTAGGAATTTTTAAGGGCAAGGGAAATATTTAAATTTTTTTCCCAGAGGGGAAAGATAGGAGCTGGGCAGCAGTGAAGATGTAATGGACAAAGGGGAGAAAGAAGAGGGAGGAGAAGGAGGAAGGGGAGGGAAGAGAAGAGTCAGGCTACCCAGAGGGCGAACGAAGATACAGGTGGAAATGCAAAAGCTCTCTGCATATCCAGCTGGTGTCTTCGTGGAAATGCAGAGAGCTTTTGCTGGAAACCCCAACCCTGCAGGGAGAGCAACAGGCGACATGATCTGCTGAGGGTAGAGGATGGGAGCAGTTCAGGGTCTTAGGAGCAGAGATGAAGGAATAACCAGTGTCAGATTTGGTGTGAAGCCAGCAAGGGCCCCTTGGGACACTGCTGAGGGGCAGTGGGGGCTTCATCTCCTCCTGAACATTGCTTCCAACTGGTAATAACACACCACTGCCTGTCTTTCCTGAGTCACCTGCCAAGGTCCCCAGGAAATGGAGAAAATAGCACCAAGGTAAATACTTCTAAGGGAAAAATGAAAACCTCTAGGAAATAAGAGCAGTGTCTTCAAAAGATCAATTTACCTGTTGGTAGTGAGCTTCCTGTTCCCGCAGGTGTTCTAACAAAGGTTGCATGAGGTCAGATGAATATTGGGCAGAGCTGTACAAAAGATGCAAGCATTAGGAAAGGAGTGGAACTAGATGCTCAATATTCAAATTTTGCTTCACTTTTCAGCAAGATAAAAAGGAAAGGTCAAGGCAGAAAAAGTTCAAAGACACTGGAATGGCTGGCCATGAGGTAGACCCGTGTCCACATGCTGCATTTCGGAAAGGAGGCAGGTTTTGCTGGTTGTTGGGTGAAATTGGGATTGAGGCTTTGCGCCACCCGCCTCCCCTCAGGTGAAGCCAGGTCCTAGTGGAGTGAGAGGAAGAAATTTAGTGCATGCATTTCTGCCCAAGAAACTCGGCATCGTCTTTTACTAGCTTTGGGTCTGGCAGGTGGCTGGCTGTGGTTTGTATCTGATTTGTTTGCATTTCTGCGGTGGGCAGCCACTGTAACTGGTTGCAAACAGAGAGATTTGCTTTGCACATAATTTAATCCAAGGGTTAGGTAATGAGTTTGCTCCCCTTCAGACAAGAGGAATCAACATGCTTCCTCCAACCTTGCCTGCACTTGGCTGTTAGTAGGGATGCTGCCCTGTGGACCTTGTTAGATAGCTCTCTGATTCCTGTGATCACAGCTCAGGGGTGATTCAGTGTAACTCTTGGTATTGAAAACCTCTGAGTAAGACAAGCAGATTGAATAATGCTCTGTAGTGAATTTGTTAATGAATTTTCTTCCTGCTCCCAAAAAGAAGGGGCTGGAAAGAAGCAGAGGCTATTGGAGCAGGGAAAGGCCATGATACTTTGTAAATCAGGGTTCTTGATGATTCTGGAGAAAAAATAATCAGAAATCGCTTTAAAAAAACAATTCCACATTCTGTTCTCAGAGACTGTCATTAGTTTCGGGGTAGGAAACAGCTTAACATCTTTCTGGTAGTCTTAAAATAGATAAATAAGCAATGACCTTAAAAAAAAAAAAGGTTATTATTCAAGGTTTAAGTAATCTTGGCTGGCTGTGATTTGCATATATATGATAAAGTCTGCCCCTCTTCCCAAGGTTGATTGCTGGGAAGCTGGACTCGTGAGGAATGCAGATCTGCTCAGTGACAGCTGAGGAGGCAGCGGGACTTCCTGTCCACTCCCCTGGGCTGGGCATGGTGCCCATCCACAGGCCTCACCTGCTGGGTCAGGGTGTCCTGTGCCAGGCCCATGACCTGGGCCGCTTTCCTGGTACACAGGGCCCCCCTGCTTGGAAGGAGCCCATGCTTCGTTTAATGTCCTCTTGCTGTTGTCTTGAAATTCTTCTTGCTTGAAAAAGGGGCCCCACATTTGCATTTTGCCCTGGGAGCTGCAGGTTGCATAGCTGGCCTTGTTAGTGGCTCTTTTCACATCAGTGATTCTGTCCTGTGTACTTCTGCCCTTTGCCAACTCTGGCCTTTCCTTGGAGGTAAGGTAATAAAAAGTTAGCTCTAAAAGTATATATATATTAGGTAAAAGTATCTTTGTCTTTTATGAAGACTTTTTTTATACCCTGATTTTAAAAATAATACATTATTTTAGCGCTGGGAAATTTAAAAGGTACAAAGAAAAAAAAACTACTGCCTTACCGTGCAACAGTGTCTTTCCAAGAGTTTTATAAGATATTTCACATAGTTCTTCAATTGCTTTTTTTTTTTTCTGGTACCAGGGATCAAACTCAGGACCTTGCACTTGTGAGGCAGGTGCTGTGCCACTGAGCTAAATCCCCAGCCCAAAAGCCAGAACATTTTAATTTTACTTATTTATTTTTGGTACCGGGGATCAAACTTAGGACCTTGTGCTTGCAAGGCAGGCACAGTCCCATTGAGCTAAACCTCCGGCCCACAAGAGTTTCTATACATACTTTCATTCTGTCTTTATATCATTGGAAATATACTGAAATAATGTTTTGGAAAATGCTTCTAAAGATTACCAATGCAGCATGGAAAAACTTTTCCCATATCATTTTTTCTTCAAAAGATTTGTTTGTTTGTTTGAAACAGTATCCCCATGTGGCCCAGGCTGACCTCGAACTCGCAGCGATCCTCCTTCCTCAGACTCCCAACTGCTGGGATTTCAGGCATGGGCCACCATGCCTGGCTTTCAAAAGATTTTTCATTGCTGAATAGTATTCCATAACAAAAAATCCCATCATTTACTCAATCAATCCCTTACTGTTGTGTCATCTATGCTTTTTACAAACAACAGTCCAAAGAGAACACACAAACATACAAAAGATTTTAAATAAAATAAATGATTTTCTTGGGGTAAGCTCCTAGAATCAAACTTGCTAGGACCTTTAACATACATTGCTCACTTGCCTCCTGGGAACCTTTCCTGTTTACACTGGTGAAGGAAGGTAGGGCTGGGGTGCGGCTTGAAAGAATAGGAGCAGGGGTTCTGCTTCCTTCATTCTTTGGGCTCTGAGGGTCCACAGTAGGATTTCTCTTTCTCTTAGTACTAGAAGAACGTGGTGTGTGACAGGGATGTTGAGCAGAGCGGATTCTTTGGCTAGTCTAGGCTGTTCTGCGGAGGTGGCTCCCTGGCACGGTGTCTGCTATCAGTCATGGTGAGCCAAGAGCCCCAGTGATGGGAGCCCCCAGGAGCCCTTCCACATCCAGCCGCAGCACAATGGTGCCATGAGCTCCTGCACAGTTGCCACTGGGGACATTCCAGAGTGCTGGGCTTGGTTTAAGGTCATCTTACTCTTTCCAAAGTCTCCCAGGGGCAGAACAAGAACATTGGAAGTCCCACAGCCTCAGACTACTAACAGTCTTCCGGGAAGGAAGAGCTTCAGGGGCAGCAGCAGTCAGATGAATCCCACAGGCCAATGAGCTCTGTTTGGTTTTGGGGAATGTGTCTGCTAGTCTGCTTGTTTAGTCCTATTTAGGTTTTGGGGAGGCATAACGGTGAGCGGTAGGTCTGTTTACTACTGAGACCTTGGCCAGTCTGCCTGTGGGAAAAGCTGCCATGTGCTCTTGCTGGTGGGGAGGGAGCCCTCGAGAGCCTGTGAAACCTGCATTGGAAAGTCTCTCCATGTTTCCACTCTGGCTCCGGGCAAGGGTGACTCCCGGAAAGTGGCTTCTGCGGGTGAAGAGGAGCAGCGAGGAGGCTGGGCTGAGAAGCAGCATTTGCAGACCAGCTGTGCAGCAGACCCCAAAGGCCCCTGAGCCCCTGCTGGGCTTCCTTTGATGCCGTGGGTCTGGACCGGGAAGGGACAGGGGTTCTCTTTACATGTAATGACTCTGGTTTCTCTGTGCCTGGAATGGTCCTCTCTTGCCTTGGTGATTTTTCCATCTGCTAGAGATGTAGTTTCCAAGTTACTTTGTTTTCCCTGAGCTTCTTTCTTTATGCCTCTGTCCATGGGCAATCCCCCCGCCTCCACGGTTCAGCTCCCTGCAGTCTTCTGCGGGCTCTGGGGCTGGGAGGACGCACAACCCCGCGGGCTGGACCCACGCCAGGCGGGAGTCGCCAGGGACAAACCACTGGCCTTTTGGCTCCTCTTCACGATCCCCCTTGGCCTCGTGGGAAGAACAAAAGGCTCCGGTCTCTGCACACGACGTGAAGAATGTCCTCTGGAGGGAACCACACTGCCAGCCGCAGACCGCCTTTTCTGACTTTGGTTCTGCCCGAAGACAGCTTCATAAACAAAAGCTTCTCCGTCTGGAGCTGCAGTCTTAGGACCTATAAGTTCTCCAAAACTTCCCTGGATTTTGACCTTTCAGTGTCATAAAGTGCTTTACAAAAATTCCACTACCATTTATAAAGACCAAATTTATTTCAAGCTAAGGTTTTTGCATATATATGTATATGTGTGTGTGTGTATATATATATATATTCCTGGGCATCTTATGAAAAATTTCCTCCTTTAAAAGGGTCTGAATTTTACACAAGTTTGAGAAGTATCCCACAGTATCTCCTCCAGTGATCAGCTGCCTTTGTAGAGGCCTTGGACAAGGGCAAGCCCAGTATAGTGGGCCGGTTCACCTTTTTTCTTTCTTCTTTTAGGTGCTGAGAATTGAATGAGAGCCTGTGCCTGCCAGGCAAGCACTTTGCCATGGAACTACATCCCTCAGCCCCATTTAACTTCTTCACAGTGGTATGAGAGACCTCACCCTTGGCAACCCCATTTTGCAAAAAAGGATCGCAAAGCTTAGAAGTGAAATGGCTGGGCAGAGCCACACAGGCCAGGCAGCCACAAAGGCAATGGCAATCTGATTCCAAAGCCCGTGCTCTCCATTTTATAAGACTCTCCCCATGAGAGGCATGCTCTAGGCAATGTGGAGACGAGAATGGAATGCGGTTACAAAAATCCCAACATTCCTGGTCAGTCAGTTTGCAGTGCAGGAGGGCTTCTAACACATGCACACACAGAACGAATAAAGACTGGGCTGTGCCAGCTATTGCAACCCCAACGCCGGAAGTCCTTGAGAGCAGAGGAAAAGACCAATTCTAGCTCAGTGGCTTGGGTTTCAAGAGGGAAAGAAAGGATTATTCCTTTTCAAATTGCCATCTTATTGGACTTCTATTCCATACAAGGATACTGGATATGGAATACTGGAAGGAAATGCTGGACGGAAAAGACACTGCCCTGCTTTCTAGAGGAGATGAACGAATGAGTAGATGAGATACACACAGGATGGAATCCTCCTGGATGGTGCTGCTCTCCTCGCTACCACCAGGGTGGCAAGGAGAGCCTCAGCAGCTGGAGCGGAGAGAAGCAAACAGAGGTCTCTGTATGCGGGGGGTGGGGGTGGGGGTGGGGGTGGCTGCAACAAGAAAACATGCCAGAGGCTGGGGCCCACCCAGAATGAGGGCCAGGTCCATAGTAGTGAGGATGCGGGGGACAGAGTTGGTGGGAGTTGCTTGGACAGTGCCCATAGAGAGGTCAGAGAGGTGGGCCTAAGTTCAAGTCTTGAACGTGTAAAGTTTTAACAAAGAAATGGAGTTTCTGGCATCCTGTTGAAGGTGTCAACAACGGGAGACTTGTGGAGATGAGAAAAGGACCTGGGGATGCAGGGAGATGGGAGAGAGAGAAGGGAAAAGGGA